CTCAGCTCCTGGTTTGATGTGTGCCTCGCCCCAGATCTAAAGTGACAGGGCCCAGACTTCCAAAAGGAGGCCAGGAGGTCGCAGCCCTGGCCAGTCTTACAGGGCAGAAGGTATCGGAAACATCAAGGGCGGGTGAGGAGGAGGGGACGCCAAAGCACAGGCAGAGACACCATGCACCTGGGTAGTAAGGGACGAGGACAACTACCAAGAAGCTTAGGTCAGGAAGAAATGGCAGGGCTGGTGAGATGGCTCAGTGGTCTAAAGCACCTACTTAGAACAAGCTTAGCAAAGCACAGGGACCGCGGTTCAATCCCCCAGCACCACATGCCAGCCAGCCCCGCCTCCTGGTGGGTTGAACTGGCCACACACACAAATAAACAAATAAATAATTTTTTTTTTTTTTTTAAAGGAAGAAATGGCAGCAAGGAGACCGTGGCAGAAGGTGCACGGGAGAACCTGCTGGGGAGCTTGACTGTCCTGAAGATACTCGGCAGCCATAAACGACGCTGAGCAGGGAAATGGCAAGAGCTGAGACCAAAACCAAGGTCACAGTTGTCCTGGAGAGAAGGCCAGCAAGGCTGACAGTACCTGTTTATGCACCGCCTGGCTGGGTCTGGGAGCAGCTCAGCGCAGAGCACCTGTCGAGCTTGTGGAAGGCCCGGATTCCCTCCACAGCGCACACGGGTCGCAGAGTTACTTAATAAACACTGGACACACATATACAATTATCACGTGTTACCGTCCACATATCAGACTACCATTACGTGTATTAATTTACTATCTAAAGACATACGAATATTACATCTCAGTATAAAAAAGAATCAACAAGAAAGAAGCGGAAAGGAAAGGATGCTGGTGCACAGCTGTAATCTCAGCAGCTGACTGAGGCAGGAAGGTCTTGAGCTTGAGGTCAGCCTGGACCATACAGGGAGCTCAGCTCTGGCCTGGACCTTGTATCAGAAGAACAAAAAAGAATAAGCACTTGCCTGGCAAGGGCAAGGGCCCGAGTTCAATCCCCAGTCCCACCAAAAAAATAAAAGAAAGGAGGCTGGTGAGACGGCTCAGTGGTCTAAAGCGCCTACTTAGAACAAGCTTAGCAAAGCACAGGGACCGCGGTTCAATCCCCCAGCACCACGGTTCAATCCCCCAGCACCACATGCCAGCCAGCCCCGCCCCCTGGTGGGCTGAGCTGGCCACACACACACACACACACACACACACGCACACACATAAATAAATAAATAAATGGAAAAAAAAAAAAAAAAAAAAGAAAGGAAGAAGATGGGCCGAGCCACAGGAGCCTCACAGGTTGTGGGAAGTGGGGAGTGGAGAAGGCTGACAGAGGGGAGGGCAGCCGCAGGGGAGGAGAGATGTGGTCGAATAATTTGCGTAAAATGTGGCTGACAGGCTAGCCTGCTGGAGAGACAAACAGAAGCCAGCTGGTGATGGGAGGAAAGGGTGGGGCAAGGGGAAGATTGTTTTCAAGAGGGCAGCAGGATAGGCTGTGTGCAACCTGCTGGGAATGAGAGCCAGGGACTTGGCCCAGTAACGAAGCTCCTGCCTGGCAAGTGTGAAGTCCTGAGTTCGAGTCCTGCTTTCTCCCCTTAAAAATATAGGAATGAGGCTGAGGCTGAGGCAGAGAGGACAGTGGTAGAAGGTGGAAGGGGACCCAATGCAGAGTGTGAAAGCAGAGGTTGGCCCTTGCTTGTTGCTACTGCAAGAAGGACCCAAATCCAGAGGCTCAAATCCATATTCAGATATTTTCTCACCCTGTTTGTTAGCCACCAAGCAGCTTCCCTGGCTTCTGTGCTTCCGGTCCCCCCAGGAGGAAATCGTGAGATCCCAGGGCTGAGTGCCTCTCGGGGGCCATCCAGGTGCAGGCAGGTCCAGCCACGGCACATGGGGCGTCATCCCTTCTTGCGCTGCTGCAGAACACTCTCTTGATTAGACCAGGCCCTTCTTTTCTTTTTTTTTTCAGTACGGAGGATCGAACTTGGGACCTTGCCCTTGCTAGGCAGGCACTTATGCTGCCGAGCTATCTCCCTGGCCCAAGTCTCTGGTTTTTAGGGTTGACTGTGTCATAAAACTAATGACAAGCGAGGGAGTGCTAGAGAGCTCATCACGTTCACAAGTTCCGGGTTGCACTGCAGAATCATGGGAGCCTTTCCTTGGAATTCTCTCTCCCTGGCTGGTTTTTCTTTTCTTTCCTTCCTTTTCATCTCTTTCCTTTGCTTTTCCCAGCACCGGGGAGTGAACTCAGGGCCTTCACACTGCGCTGCACCCCCAGCAGTACCTCCCATCTGGTTGTTTGTTTTTTTTTAGGTGAAAGATTTATTCCATCTGAAGAGAAACCAGAATATACATGGCTTTTTTAAAAGACAAACTCTCTGAAAAATCACTAACTGCTGCAAGCTGGCTTAATCGCCTCCATTTTGTAACAAGCTTTATAACTTCCGTTTTATAAAACCTTGATCTGTTTTGTAAACTCCCACCCATGCCCACCCACAAAATGTGACTGTTTGTACAACAACAAAGTGTTTCTCAGCATTCCGAGAGAAGATAAGAAATGTCCCTCAACATTCCGCAAAATGAGTTAAACTGTCCTTCTGATTATGGGAACAAACAGAATGCCTGAAAATGGGTGAAACTGTCATCAGATGTCCTTCCGACTACCGGAACAAAACGCCTAAGCCAAATAAGGACATTCCTGTAGGGTTTACCTCGTCTGTGAGAACAGAGTTAACTCTGTAAAACTCCCCCGCCCTCCCCCTGCTTTTGTGGTTTTCTGCTTTAAACACTGTGTGTCACTCCAGCTGGGGCGCATTCTTGTCAGCTTCCTGAGGAGAGTGTTGTCGCTGAGCTCAGCTAATAAAGCGCTCCAAAATGCCCCTTTGGTTTTGGTGTCTATCGGTTCTGCGACGTGCCACACTAACTTGGCCCACCTGGCCTTAAATTTGCACTCTTTCTGCCTCAGCGTCCCCAGGTGCTGGGATTTGCAGGGCTGTGCCACCTGGCTTGGCCAACCACCCTGCAGACATGAACTGCTGTGGCAGAAGGTGCAAAGGTGGACTGTGCTTGCGTGCATGCGTGCATGCGTGCATACGTGCGTGCATACGTGCATACGTGCATGCACGTACGCGTACGTGCGTACGTGCAGCTATGGACACCTGCATGGCTTTGGTGGCGGGGGTCCATTCAGCTGCTCTAACAGAGACTCGAAGAACCAGCTGCTTGTATTTTCTCTCTGCAAGAAGCTGCGGATGATCAAGTTAGAGCTGGGATCCCAGTTTCAAAATCACCACAGACACCGACCTTGGCTCCTTCTAGAGTTCGGCCCTGCCCTTCTCAGCTTAGGCCCCAGACAGTCTACTCCTGATGGCCGAAGGGACGCGGACGGGGAAAGGACACGGGCTGCCTCCTCAGTCTGAGCAACTGCACACCGGGGCCCAGGCTCCTCTTTCCGCTTCAGCGTCCTCGGCCACCACCAGCCATGACCACGAGCTTCCCCGTGGGTCCCTCTCTCTTTAGAGTGGTCTCGCCTTCCGCCCCGGGATCCGGTCCTCGGCAGACCCCATCCTGACCTTACATCACTGGAGCGCCTTCCGCACGGCCCCACAGCGGCGCTGTATCCCACGGGCTCTCTGACTTCCGTGGCCACCACCCCACCGTGGGCACAGACTCTGCAAACTACCGATTGACTTGGTTATATTCATAATAGTGAAATCTTTATGATTATAAAGTCATAAAATAAAAACATTGTTTTAATTTTGCAATATAACTATACTGTTTTACTGTTAGGTTTAATTTTTTGGGGGGGGCACTCAGGATGCCTTCAGGGCAGGTCTAGTTTGGCTTGAGGATGAGGGGACTGAACCGCAGCATCCTGAGCTTGACGGCTTTGTTTAATCAGGCACTTAAACACGTGAGCTCCCGTTAGGTTTAATTTTAATTCATATCTCATAACACTGAAGACATAACACAGTATGATACATTTATCTTTAAAAACTGATTTTCTTTTTAATTTTTTATTTATTTGGCATAGGGTAAATACCTTTACCTATAGGGTAAATACGGTAGAGCGCAAAGGATTACAGTGTGTGCCAACACACCTGGTTTCAGCGGCCAGCACAGCATGTGGTACCAGGGATTGAAGCCAGGTCCTTGCGCTTACTAGCCAGGTACTTAGACCACTGAGCTATCTCCCCAGCCCCTATATTTATCTTTTAAAGTTAATGTATATTGCTAACATTACTGGAAAATGATGTCAGTCCCCTAAATAGAAAGTAGCCATAGAAGTAGATTTAATACAAATAAAGTGATGGCCTTAAATTCTAGCTAGACACTAAGGTCTGCTGAGATTCTTAGTGCCAGATGCTGAAGATAGCAGGGCATCAAAAAGCCACTCTCCTTGACCTGTTCAAAGGGAATAAAAAGGACTAAAAATCTCAGCTGGGCACTGTGGCACTTGTCTGGACTTCTAGAACTCTGGGAAGCTGAGGCAGGAGGATCTCAAATTCTGGCCCAACCTGGGTAACTTAGTGAGAGTCTCTCTCAAAAAATATAAAAGGGATGGGGACGTAGCTCAATATGAAGACCCTGGATTCAATCCCCAGGACAAGAAAAGGAAAGTTCCTGTCTCTGCAGAGTCTCTACTAAGAGGTTTCCAGCTCACTCTCTGGAAGACAAACAGGACAGGGGTTATTGCTCCCATTCTGCAGGTGAGGAAAATTGAGATGGAGGAGAACAACACAGAATCCCTCATCTCAGAGGCCTTCTCCTCTGGGAAGTGCTGGGAAGCTCCTGGGACCAGGCTAGGGGCCACCCGAGGTCTCCTGCAGGTGCAGCGCTGGCGCCCCAAGGAGATGGGTGCGATGGGATGCCTTCCCTAACTTCGGGTCAGCCTGTGGTTCTGGCTTTGGAGATAGTCCTCAGCTGCCCTCGGGGGATAAGCCAGGCTATTTTCATCACTTCCTTCCTGCCCCAGCAGAGGCCACCAGCCACTCTCTGCCTCTCAAGCGCGGCCACCACGGGCCCCACCGGGTCAGTGCCAGTCACAGAGCTGGTGCCCCAACCAACCGAAGGTTTGGCAGGTAAGTGGCCTCCTATGACCCAGAAAGCTGGTGGAGGAGGGGCATGACCCTTCTGTTCATGCTTTGGGAGGCGTATCAGGCGGGTGAGCTGTGGGCACCCCACGAGCCTGACCCTGGTATCATCTGTCCTGAAGTCTGGGGGTCATGGGTTGGTGCTGGAACCCACTGAGCTGCCTTGTGTTGCCCTCACCTCAGCAGGTGCTGAGGTCTCTGCCAGGGTCCTAGAAGCCCTTCCCAAGAGCACAGCCCACCCTCAGCCCCTGCCTGTCCTGCCTCGCAGGTGTCCGGGGAAGATCCACCACCCCATACCACCGAGGAGAACATTGAGGCCCAAGGAGGGAGGGGAGCAGGCCTTGTCCGGGCCCCAGCAGCAAGGCCTCCCACCAGCCTCTCTCCCACAGCCTGCCCACCTGATGTCTGCCTGGACACTGCTTTTCCTGCTCTGCACCACGGCAGCTGCTACACAGGACTGCCCAGCCCCGTGCAGCTGCCAGTCCCTGGAAACCATGGGGCTGCTTGTGGACTGTGAGGGGCGTGGGCTCACGGCCCTGCCTGCCCTGCCCAGCAGCACCCGCCACCTCCTGCTGGCCAACAACAGCCTGCGATCCGTGCCCGCGGGTGCCTTTGACCACCTGCCCCAGCTGTGGATCCTCGATGTGTCGCAGAACCCCTGGCACTGTGACTGTGGCCTCACCTACCTGCGCCTCTGGCTGGAGGACCACATGCCTGGCTCCCTGGCGGATGTCCTCTGTGCCAGCCCAGCCCGTGCCGCCCACCTCCCACTGAACCAGCTGACAGGCTACCAGCTGGGAAACTGTGGCTGGCAGCTGCAGGCATCCTGGGCCGGCCCTGGGCTCTGGTGGGACGTGGCAATGGTGGCTGTGGCGATTGTGGGCGTGGCTCTCCTGGCTGGCCTGCTCTGCACTGCCACTGAGTTCCTGGGTTAAAATCAGGAGCCCATCGTCACTCCCTGGCCCTGGGGAGCCCCCAGAGCCCAGCAACTCTGCTCACCCCAGACCAGCAGAAGCCCCTAATAAACCAGCCACTAAGCAGTTTCACCTAAGCTCCGAGTTTCCTGTTTTTCTCTCCTCACCTGAATCTGACTTCTTCTATAATTCCACATTCATTCTGTTATAACAATAATCAGATAGCACATGGGCTTCTCTGTCCCCCAAGGTTCAGCATCTTACCTCCCCCAATCAATCACCTTGTATCCCACCATCTTTGGATATCCTAAACCAGGCTGTGGACTCTGCTTTTTTTGTTTTGTTTTGTTTTTTGTCTTTGTCTTTTTGAAACAGAGTCTCGCTGTGCAATTCAGACTGGCCTTGAGCTCACTTTGTAGCCTAGGCTGGTCTCAAATTTGCAACAATCCTCCTGCCTCAGCCTCTCAAGTGCTGGGATTACAGGCCTGCCCACTGCACCTGGCTGTGGACTCAAGCTCATGGCCTCTGCTCTCTGCCCTTGGCCCCATCAGTGTTCAGCCCAGTCTCCATGTCCACAGGAAGCTTGCAGTGAGTGGGATGGGGTGGACCAAAGACTCTGAAGAGGGGCTCCATCTCCACAATCTAAGATGCCTTCCTGTGAGGATTTCCAACAACAACCTCGTGAATTAAGTATGGTGCCAGCTAGGGTCTCAGGATGCCACCAGGAGGATCAAGTGGGCACAGAGTGAGGCTTGAGGTCAGGAAGGGACAAGGGCCCCACACTGACAGCGGGGACAGCAAGGGAAGGTGAGGATCATGACAAAGTAGGGAGTCCATGCTCCATCCAGAGAGGCTTGGGCAGTGGCCACTGTGCATGAATGTGAATGGGAAGGAGCAGGTATGTCACCAGCCACCTGCATGATGGGTCCTCTTGCACACACGAACAGCACCCCCTCAGAAGCTCCTGGGGCCTTGGAGTGCCCTGGAACTAAGGCCCTCTTCCCAACTCCCATGTGGGGTATATCCCAGATCAATCATCTGCCCCTAAATTCTACCCCTGCCCCACTCTCTCCTGAGGCATTGGGGTGTTGGATCATCCAACTGTCTGTCAAGGTGGCCTGATCAACCTGCCAGGTACCCCCAACCTCCCCAGGGAATGAGTCCCCTGAGGCTGGGGAGGGGTGGAGGACCTTCAGCAGACAGCCAGGGGTTTCCCAAAGTTTCCCAAACACAGACAGCGGGTTCCCATGGGAGCTCCAGGAATCAAGAGCCCTGGGGACACCGGAAGCTCACCCTCTGTCTTTCCCCACAGTGCTGCCAGAACAACGATCACAAAATGAGGCCATGGCGTGAGTCTGATGTGTTCCCCAAAGGTCTGGGAGTGGGGTCCCCAGCCTGGAGGCAGGGCCTGTGGAGGGAAGTTAGGTCATAGAGGTGCCCTTGAAGGGGATGTTGGGACCCCTCTTTGCTTCCCAGCCACCACCAGGTGGGCAGCTTTCTCTGCCACATGGTCCTAGCAGAAAGGACCACCTCACTGCAAGCCCAGGGGCTACGGGGCCAACTGGCCACAGACGGGAACTAGGAATCAACAGATCTTTATTAGCCAGGTGGTGTGCGCTTACAGCGCCAGCACCTTGGGGAGGCTGAGGCAATACGGTCATAAATTCAAGCACCTTGACGACTCAGCAAGACTCAGTCTCAACACTGGAAGTGGGGAAGGTGTAGCTTGGTGGGAGGCTGTGGATTCCATCCCAGTACCACAGGAGACACACGGACACACACACGGGGCTGTGTGGCCCGGTCATTTATGGATGACAGCAATTATTTCTCACCCTTCAGAAGGGTAAGGCATCAGCATTCTGTGTCTTGCTGCTGCAGAGATGGGGGACGAAATGGACCCGCCTCTACCCTCCAGCATTGGGAATGAAGTTTCACCACGTGAACGGGCGGGTTTGGGGCATCTCAAGACACAGCCCCACCTCCATCATCCTCTTACCATCTCACACAGGCAAGGTCACTGCCACAGGGCCACCTGCACAAGCCCCACCCATCCCCTCAGGAGCCACCACTGTCCCTCGGGGCAGACCACCTCTAGCTGCAGGGAATGCCACTGCTGCCCGCAGTCAGCAGCTCTCCCCTCCTCCTCACCACGGACACGCTCCACTGCCAGCACAGCACTGGCTGACAGCACCCGCCTGGCCATCCCACTCTGTCACAGAGCTGTCCCTAGCACAGCTGTCAGCAGCAGGAGCTCCACACACCACCGCATCTTCCGCCCATCATAAATCCTATGCAAATGCTGCAGTTGTCAGTGACCCATCCCAGGGGTCCCCATAACATCATGTCATGGTCCTCTCCTCCAAGGGTGCTGGTAAAGCCCAGATGCACACACAACATCTGCCAAGCTGACTGTTACCTGCTGCTGAGATGCCCAGCTGCCTGGCCTCAGCTTATCCTGCCACTGCTGTCCAGCGCGGAGAGTAGGCCACGGGGGCCATCTCAGGAAGCCGGATCCAGTGCATCATGCCGTCCATCTCCTTGTTTAAAAAATACATATTTAAATCTACTTGGGGACTGTTCTGCTGTGCTGCTTTCCTGTAGCCAGCAGGAAAGTGGAGGCAAAGAGAACAGCACAGCACCCACGGCAAGGCCTTGAGGTGGCATTGGCCATCTGGACCCCAGCCACGGGCCACCCCAGCTGTGAGGGCACCCAGAAACATGCTCGCTCTGTGTGCCCAGAATGAGTGGCTGGCGAGCCTGGGCTGTTGTCTGCCCCATGCGGTCTCCACAGAAAGCACTACGGCTGGGGCTGCCAGGGATGTGCTGCCCAGAGGTCTCTGAGAAACAGGGGCCCCTTCCCTTGCGGACACTGTGTCCCACCCAGAGCTGGCGCCTGACACAGCACCCGTGTGGCGACCCTCCCCCACCTCCTGTGAGTGTACTTGTACTCCAGTTTCCTCACCAGCAAGGAACATGCTTCACTCCCAAGCTGGGGAGATAGCAGGGACTGGCAGCAAACTCCACAAGCCCAAGGGAAAGAAGGGGGAAGCGGTCAGACCTCTCCTGGGGGCTCCTGGGCTTGGCCTAAGGAGCTGCCTGGGAACCTAGGCTAACCTGTTCCCACCCAGCAACCTCTGCACCCTCCCCAGGGCCATCCAGGGGGACCGAGGAGACAGGAGGTGTGCCTGAGCCAGGAAAAGTCTTGGCACCCTTACTTGGCATTCACCGTGCCCTGGGCTCCATCCCCAGCGTGGGAGAATCAGCGCATGGTTGGTGCGTGCGGGGCGCGCCTATGGGGTACACTCGCAGGCCCCACTGTGTGCAAGGCCAAGGCTGGAGGCGCACCTCAGCCCAGGTGCTGCCATTTGGACCCAGAATGGGCTGCAAAGGGCCCATGGCCAGCTGATGGCACTAGTGGGATCAGGACCTTTAGGAGGTATGGTCTATAGAAGGAAGTTAGGTGGCACGGTGGCCTGGGTGTCTTGTGCCCTGGAAGGGGAAAGATATTAGGAAGCCAGTTTCCCCTTCCTCTTCACTTCCAGGCTGCTCTTGGGTGAATGTGCCTCCTCTGTCACACGTTCTTGCCATGAAGCCACTATGTCCCAAAGCAACAGGACCAAGGAACCGTAGATGGAAACCTGTGGAACCTTGAGCCCAAATCTTTCCTCCTTCTCTAAGCTGGGTTATCTGAGGTATTTTGTCACAGCAACAGAAGGTTGAGTGGCACACGAAGAGAAAAGGACAGCCTGGGCAACAGAGCCAGACTTCACCTCACACAGCTAGGCGCTGTCGTCCCCACTACCTGGGCAAGCTGAGGTGGGAGGATTGCCAGAGGCTGGCCTAGGCCTCTCAGCAAATTCCTCTCTCAAATCAGTTCACCTCTTTTGGGGATGTTGCCCTTCCAAGGTTCAGTTCTCTCCATTTGAAAATGACGTGTGCCTCTCGCTTCAGAGTGCAGGTGACCTGGCTAACTGTGAGTCTCCTTGTTCTAAAAAATGTGTATTTAAATCTACTTGAATTCTTTGCCAAGCTGAGGGGACAGCTCAATGGTAGAGTGCTTGTCTCAGGCTCAAAGGCTTGACCCCAGTACCACACACAGTCTCAAATAATCCTAGCTACTCAGGAGGCTGAGGCAGGAGGCTTGCAAGTTTGAGCCCACCTTGGGTCTTGAACTGTTCCTGGGCTGGGTCTGAGTTTCCCAGACTTAACCCTCGCCTCTATAGAAAGCTCACTGACTCCTGCCACAGAGGAAGGATGTATAGAGAGTGCTAGCTAGAAAGAGACGCAAGTAGAGCTTAGGAGGCGAAGGCAGAGGGTACAAAATACACTCGAGAGAGGCGTGCCAGAGTCGACAAAAGAGACACACTCCAGGTGGGAGCTGAATACGTTTCTACTTCTCTTGGAGGGGTGGAAAGCTAGGGAAAAAAGTGCCCCTCCTCGAAACAGAAATGGCACCAGCTCATTAGCAGGCATGGATTTCACTTTTTTGAATAGGCGATTTAATCATTTTGGGGTTTTTTTTGGCAGAACCAGGGATTGAACTCAGGCCCTTGCACTTGCCAGGGAAGCGCTTATTCCACTGAGCCACCTCCCCGGCCCTTGATTTAATCATTATGTGGATTCATTCAAACTTTTGTTTACTTTTATAATCAGGCCAATTTACGTTCTGTTGGTCGAGTCTGGTAGGGAAGAGGGTGACATTAGCTAAGTCCTGGGCCTTTCAGGCTTTTCACAAAGTACAACTTTTAGTGAAGATTGCTCTGTCTCTTTCTTTAAACTTGTCTTTTATTTCTTTCATCCTATCTCATTCTCCTCAGCAAGACTTTGATCCCTTATTTTTAAGGGCATGCAGAAGGCCCGATACTCCGAGTTCCTGCCTATTGTATGACTTTTTACGTAGAGAAGGGGCGCTGGCCCTGTGTAGCCAGGGACTGAAAATGTCTTCAGCATAACAGAGACAGGAATATCAGGCTTTGTCCTTTGTGAAACCGTCATTCTTGAATAGTCCAAAGGAGAGGGTGGGGCAGTGAGCCATTAGCCCAAACAGTAATATCGAGGAGCATAAAAGGATTTTGGTATCATAACCAGAGAAACTGATTTCCAGACTAATTTAGAAAAGCCAAACACCAGGC